CGGGCACCCTTCCTGTCACGATCGTTTCCGTGGTCGTTTTCAGGCCGCAGTTTCAGTCGCTAGAAGGCTGCTCTAGTAATTGCTTGGGTGTTCAGGTGGTGCCCGCACCGCAGACATAGGTGACCGAGCTGCATACGGGTGCCATGCGCTGGCTGCGGTTCCTCAGCGTGACGCTGTGGTTTGCTCCCGTCTCTCATCCCACAGCAGGCCTGCTGCGCTATTTGGGCATTTGCAGCCCAGACCAAAGTCCTCTCCTGTCCAGGTTCTTGTGGCAGAAGCGGCTCGTCACCGCGACTCATGACCGTGCCACATGCCCGTGCTGCAGGACTTGGCTTGGGAGAGGGGACGTCCCTGCGCTGGGGGATCTGAGACCTTGCACAGCACCTCCCTGGCACCCGACTTACCACGTTGGAGCTATCCCATCAGCTGCTGCAGCTTGCAGGATTTGTGGACTGTATTTTACTGGTCCTCTAGCCTCATCTCCGCTGTTTGTGCCTGGCTCGATGAGGGCTGCAGGTGCAGTGGTGGTGGCCAGGCCCTAGCGCCAGGGACCTGGAAATCTTCACACGTCTGTCCCAATGCAAAGGCAAGGGAACCAGGGTTCCTGCTTCTGGCTAATCCTCGCAATGGGGTAAACTTTCCCAGGCATTTACTGAGGAGTTCCGGGTATTCCGTGGGTATTTCCCAGGGAGCTCTGACTGTTACCCCGAATTCCCCGTGAGTATTGACTTTGTCTTCCCAATGTGTTCCAGCCACTATGTGAACCCTCAGCCTCCCGTGACCTCCCCACCCGCTGCAATTCCCCCCACATAGAGTGAGTGCGAGGACAGGCCGGGAAAGCAGGCACAGGATGGCGGCAAGGGAACAACCCCAGGGAGAAAAGCTCCCATCCCTTCTTCTCTTTATGTGTCCCAAGGGCTGGAAAAGCCTGAGCAGATGGTGATGCTTAGAGGAGGTGCTTAGGCAGGAGAAATGGGAGGAGGGAAGAGGGGGAGATAGGGGCAGAACTCAGTCACTTAGGGGCTAGCAGGGAAAGGAGGGGGTGTGGAGAAGAAGGATGGGGTGCATAAGGATTGGAAGGGGAATAGGAAGGTTCCAGGAAGAGCACCAGGATCCAAACAGATCACCATGGTCCGGGGGGGCATCTCTTATCTCTTAATCTTAGCATGATTAAGAGCATGGCTGTGTCAAGTAGTTGGACCCTTGCAAAGCAAAGCCAAGAAATGCAGCTTATTTTCATCTCTCTTTAAGCAGAGAAGTCAGCCTGAAGAAATTTCAGATTTTGGCAAACAGCAATCAAAAGGGAAAGGCTTCTCTGATTTCTTGTCTCAGAATTAAAATAGAAAACACACTTGAAATTGCAGGGGAAAAAAGTGATTAATCTCCCCTTTGGGGAATTTGCCTCTTAAAAGATTATATTATTTCAGATCTTTCTAGCAAAGGTAAGGAAATATTATGCAAGGAAGAAAACTTCTGGAAAATGTCATAGCCATACAGAGAGCAAATATTCATCAGTGTGTGACCATTGTATTCACAGTAGGTTTGGAAACATGACAGTAGGTTTCCTGGTGGGCGAGGGATCTCCCAGGCACAGATTTCAGCAGATTCCTGTAGAAATTCTCATCTAACTTTGGAAATACATAAATAGAGGAGGTGTTCCAACCTGACAGATTTTCATAGTGTTGTGCTTTTTTGTTTGTTTGTTTGTTTGTTTTTGTCTTCTGAGCTATTCAGGTGGCTACTGAGTCACTATATTTCAGGTATTTCTGGAGCAGAGCTGGAAAGAGCAGTGGGTGCCCTGAGATTTGGTCTTGCAGATACCTCTGAGAGGTAAATGAAGCGCAAGAGAGAGAAGTAAGTTAGAAGATGTAAAAGAATTTCCAACACAAGATACACTCTTCCACTAGAGTCCTTTAATAATGTTCTGGGAAGGGACAATAAACAGAAAATAACTGAGGCACGAGGTTCGCTTAGAAAAAAAAAGAAATAAACAGAGTGGATAAATCCCTCAGACTGTGATAAGAGGATACCTTTAAGCCTGCAGAATCCAGCCAGAATTAAGAAAAAAATCCATGTATATCCCAATGAGGAGCCTCATTTCATAGAAGAACTTCTGAGTGAATTAACTACACTTTTTCTTTTTTCTTTTTTTTTTTTAACCAAAAACTGTAGCATTTTCCCACCATGTTGTTCTATTGTAGACAAAGTCATATTTAGTCCAAATACCTCACATTAATATTACCTGAATGTCTGTATTCATGTTGAAGAATTTTAATGTCAATGTCTGGCTGGAACCTTTATGTCCTACAGGGCTGACGAAGGGATAGATCATGAAGAAACACATTCAGTGAAGGAATTTCCGCAGGGTGCTGCCAGAGTGTGAAGACAAGGGAAATTTGATTGTGTGGCTTTTTATGATTTAGTGCATTAATTGAAAAGTATCTTATGAGAAATGTAGTCATTCTTGAATGCTGAGTGAACCTCCGAAATCTTCAGGAATATAGTGCTGGGAAATTATCTACAGCACAACCTAAATTCCAGCTCTTTCATTTTCTTAAAAATTGTGGAATTAAGTACTTATGTTTGCCCAAAATGCAGCAGTGAAAATAATGTGTTTTTTTGTTTGCATATGTACAGATTGAAGAAACTTATTAAAAGTTACACTAAGCTGAGCTCTAAATTGAAGTTACTTTCAATCATAAATGTAAAAAAAATGATGAAAATGCAATAAAAGGAATCAAAGATGCTTAGTATTCTTTTAAAAAGTAAATTTTATATTATTCTAATTGAATTATATGTTCATGTAATGCTTGACTGAGAGGCAAAAAGACATGATTTATTAAGGGAAATACAATTTCCTTAACATAGTCCTTAAAATTACATGTTGTGGCTTGTTTGTCATGTGGTCATTATTCCCAGCAGTCACCCTAGAATTATCCCACATGTTGGAGCTTGTTGCCCCTTCCTTGATATCAGACTCATGCCTTTATGGCAGACTTAGAGTCAGAGGAGTGGCTGGAAAAGGCAGTTCCGCTTTCATCCCATTTCATCCCACTTTTATCCCATAGGATTACTACAAACACAAATTTTAAAAAAAAGGGTCCAAAATCTAAAAACAATCAGGAGAAATGCCCAGCAAAATCATTGCTTTCCTTTTTGGAATGAATATGGATGAAAAGAGTGCAGGGGCTGGAGAAGGAGCTGTGATTATTGCTTGGCCGCACTGGAAAATGCCTCCTGCTTTTATAATATTGCTTTAATCTCCTGTGTTGCTTTCCTTGTCTCCAACCTATCTGCAAGGTTATAGGGACCTCTGCCCTCCAGCCCTCTTTTCCTGTGCTCTACAACACCTTTATTCTCTTCTGCATCAGGGCCTGGGCTCTTCCTCTTAAATTCTTCTTAAATTGCAGAAAGGTTTTTTTGTGCCACGGCTAAGAGAGAGGAGATGGAGCACGTGTGGGCTATGCAAACTGGGTACCAGAGGCAAACTGCAGCTAGGAAAATGTTTCCTTGATCTTTCTGTTTACAGAATTATAGCTGACTTGTAACGGTGCCAGTGTCCTCAGGAGCCCTGCCTAGGGATTTCTGGTAAACACAAAAACATGTTAGGAAGGGGATGGAGTTAATCAGTTGGGCTTTCCTGCTGCTATATTCAGCCTATCAAGCTGACCCTGACAGATGCTTCTGCTTTTAGGCCACAAGGAACATTATTGACTGGCTTTCCCTGCGTTCAAGAAGCACGTAAATCCATCGGACTTGTTTTTCATAGGAGCACTCTCCCAACAGGTGATTTTTTTTTAATCTCTGTCATAATAGGTTTTAATGAATTTCTTAATAGGCTGATACCACCACAGAATAAACAGAGGGAATTTGCGTTGCTGTAAGTGACTTTGCCATGAGAAGGCCTGGACTGCAAGTGATGGCAAAGTTACATGGCAGAGCTCCGTGGAGCAGCTTTTCCACGCCTGGTGACACTCGTCCCTCCGCTCTCCCTCGGCCTGGGATTGCTATGGAACTTTCCACAGAGCTCTCATGGCAGCACCTGGCCGTGGAGAGCCGCTTGGTTGCACAGTACCGACACTTGCCCGTGTTTTGGATTTCCCAATTGGAAGGAAAAGGGGTTAAATTAGATTGAAAGAGTGTCCTGCTGCATGAGCTCGTTCCCCATTAAAACACGACGCCTGGATTCTCTTCTCCATTTCACCATCCCAGTCCCCTGAAGTTAACAAGTTTGCACCTCAGTCCTGCAGGCATAACTCTAGAAAGGAGCTGGTCTGCTCAAATAAGATTTACAGGAATATCATAACATAATACCTAGAATTGTGTTTGCCATGAAAATGGTGCTTTTTCTTTTTTCTTTTTGATCAGTCACAATTATTTGTGCTTGCAACACAGGCCTCTTAAGGCATCAAATTACATGGGTCAATAAGGAAGGCAGTTACCTAGCTGACCAAAACTGCAGGTGCAAAATTATGCCTGCAGCTCTTTGCGGCCATAAAAGTAGGTCGTCCTCCGAAGGGCAGTTGCAGCAGGAGTTGCCACACTCCTTCCTCCTCCCGAGCCCAAATCCCTGAGGAATTCTTTCTGGCATGAAGTCTGTTCACCTGGAGGAAGGAGAAGCACAATTTCCCCCATCCTCTCCTGCAAGCGTTGGCGAGGAAGTTATTTTAGTGGACCATAACATTATTATAAT